ACTCAGAACATTGGCTTTATCACATGTCCATTTGTGTTCACCTGCTCTGTACTGGCTGCATTTAGGCCTGAGAGCTGCCATAATTCAGGGCTCATGTAAATATAAATAATAAGCTCTTCAAATTGTGTTTGAAATACTCCATTATTATTGAATATAATTTAAGAAGTTTTTTGTGGAGGATTTTCAATATTTTCAGTTGGAATATTTTAATGTTACATTTTAAAAAATTGTAAAAAGTAAAGTTTTGAAATATAGCTTTTTTTCTCTTTGCATTGTTCCCTAGCTCTGGGGTGCTAGTAGCTTTCCAGCTATCATTCATATCCTCCTTCTCCATGCAGAGTAGGGATCTTAAATTGCATTTAATCAGCTAATTGAGTAGTAAATTGAATTTCCTTCGACTACATGATTCATTCATAAGGGGGGGTAACTGCAGAGCTGCAGCACCTGGGAGCTCATCCCACTGTGGCTCTGCCTTTTAAATGTATTAAGAGCCACCAGGTTCTTGATATATTGAAAAAGCAGAGGCGCAGTGTCTGGGGCCAGACACCAGCCAGGACAGCTGATTCCTGGCTCGCACTCACACCCACCTTCTGTGCCTCTGTTTTTTAACTGTATTAAGAACCTTGCAGCTCTTAAGAAATTTAAAAAGCAGAGGTGCAGTGTTTGGGACTGGGTGTGAGCCAGGAATCCGCTGACTCCTGGCTTGTGACTGGTCCTCTGCTATGCCTCTGCCTCCCCTGTTCCCCTGCAGAGACTGTGCTGGAGGGCCCTGGCTTTTAAGCAGACTCCCTCCAGCTCCTGCCTCTCTCCCTCTCTCCCCCCTCCCCCGATAGAGGCAGCAAGAGGGGGAGAGAGCGACTAGTCAAGTCACTACTCAACTACCCGATAAACGTTTGCTCGTCGGGTAGTTGACTAGTCAACCAGTCACTTACATTCCTAATGCACAGTGCAGCCCCCGAAGGACCCGCTCATCCACATGTGGCATGGAGGACAGGGAGAACTGGGTTTGACAGCAGAAATTCCCCAGAAGGCCTGGTTGGCTTAAACCATGCCCTCAAGACACCTGTCTCTCCATGTAAGGAGCACACCCAGGAGGAAGAAACACAGCATAACTTAAAAACAACAAATGTGAAAAACATGAATGAGAAATACAAATATAAAAATAGGAAGCTACCTAGCATTATAGCAGAGTTGCTGGCAACATAGTAACTAAAAATTGTGTAGGATTAATTCTGTCAAAACTTAACTGTGTAAGGCGTGACTGGTCTGTTCTTCAATGGAGGGTAGGAATAAAAGCAACTCTCTGCAGGGGCAGAATTCTAAACAATGTAGTAGGTCAAAACAATTTTGCAATGGAAAACTTCCTACATGAAAACTTTCCAATAAAATGTTATAATCTTGAAAAACCCCAAATCTCTCTTTTCAATCTGAAGTCCTATAAAAAGTGTATCAGGAGAACACAATAAACATGACGAGCAACTAAACTGTGAAATCAGATGTTTGAAGTGACTACTGCCTCCCTGACTTGCAAAATTGTTAAATTTGACCCAATTAGCCTTATATAGATCCTATTGGTAGCAGTGATGTGCCTTCCTACTTAATCTATAGGTTCTGTTTATGCTAGGCAAAAGGTCATTGCAGTTTTTTTTATTTGAATTACAGTAATCCTCATAAACCCCAAATAAGATATTAGTGGACCATTGTGCCAGCAGGGGAAATATCTTTTCTTCTTCCTATGAAAATCCATTAGGATTTGGCAGAGCTAGTGTTAAAAATCTTTTTTTTGCAGAGAGCAGGACCCTTGCCCCCATCCTCCTATTCAGGGAAAGTGCAATGGAACCTAAAAATTACAGACATCTCAGGAATGGAGGTTGTAACTCTGAAATGTTCATAACTCTGAACAAGTCACAGTTCTGAGCTCCAGCTCTGACAGCTGATCCTTTAGGCCAGCCTCCAGCAGCAGCTGAGCTCCCTCTGCAGCACAGAAAG